TCAGTGCGTGGCTCCATGGGTGGTGTTGCCAGCAGGGACTTGGCTTTGACCATGGGATGTTGTTCCAAGAAGTAGGATTGCTTGGAAGAGACAGGATCCACCAGATGAAGAGAGGGAAGAGCATCTTCGCAAACAGGCACGCTAACCAAGTGAAGAGGGCTTCATACTAGGTTCACCAGGGGATTAGAGAACAAAGCCCTGAGGTATGTGGGAGACCTGGAGAAAGCAGGAGCAGGCAGCAAGGGAGGCTTAATTCTTCTTGAGAAAGTAGAACAATTGGCTGGTGACCACAAATGCATGGAGCCTGGGAAACAAGTAGGAAGAATCGGAAGTCCTCACACAGTCAAGGAACTATGACATGATTGGAATAACAGAGACTTGGTGGGATAGCTTGCATGACTGGAGCACTGTCATGGATATGTACAAACTGTTCAGGAAGCACAGGCAGGAGAGAAGAGGAGATTCATTGTATGTAAAAGAGCTATATGATTGCCAGAGCTCCACCATGAAACGAGATAGGCCTGTTGAGAGCCTCTGGGTTGGGTTAGAGCAGCAAGGGTGATGTTGTGGTGGGGTCTGCTATAAACTACCACACCAGGAGGATGAGGTAGATGAGTCTTTCTTCAGACAAGTAGCAGAAGTTTCCAGATCACAGGCCCTGGTTCTCATGGGGACTTCAGTCACCCTGACATCTCCTCAGAGGTCTATACAGCAGTGCACAGGCAATTCAGAAAGTTTTTGGAGAGCATTAGAGACAACTTCCTGGCGCGAGTGCCGGAGAGACTACCTACAGGTTGTGCTTTTCTTAATCTACTGCTCACAAACAGGGGAGAATTGGTGAGGTATGTAGAAGTGGATGGCAAGTTGGGTAGCAGTGACCATGAGATGATTGAGTTCACGATCCTGACAAAAGGAAGAAAGGAGAGCAGCAGAGTATAGACCCTGGACTTGAGAAAAGCAGACTTTTACTTTCTCAGGGAGCTGATGGGCAGGATCACCTGAGAGGCTAGTCTGAGGGGGAAAGGAGCCCAGCAGAGCTGGTTGTACTTTAACGAAACATTCCTGAGTGTGCAGGAGCAAACCGTTCAGATGTGCAGGAAGAACAGCAAATGTGGCAAGCTTGGCTTATCAGAGGTCTCTTCAGTGAACTTAAATGCAAAAAAGGAAGCTTACAAGAAGTGGAAGCTTGGACAAACAACTTGTATAAGAAAGTTGTTCAGGCATGCAGAGATGAAGTCAGGAAGGCCAAATTGCAATTGGAATTGCAGCTAGCAAGGGGCATGAAGAGTAGCAAGAAGGGTTTATACAAGTATATTAGCAACAAGAAGAAGGTCAGGGAAAAGTGTGGGTCCCTTATTAAATGGGAGTGGCAACCTAGTGACAGAAAATGAGGAAAAGGCTCAATGCCTTTTTCACCTTGGTCTTCACAAGCAAGGTCAGCTCCCAGACTACTGCACTGGGCAGCACAGTCTGGGGAGAAGGTAAGCATCCCTCAGTGGTAAAGTAACAGGTTAGCAACTATTTAGAAAAGCTGGACATGTACAAATCCATGGGGTGTGCAGTCCATCTGAGGGTGAAGAGGGAGTTGGCCAATGTGACTTCAGGGCCTCTGGCCATTATCTTTGAAAATTAATAGCAACCAGGGCAGGTGCTGAATGACTGGAAATGGGAAAGTATAATGCTCATCTTTAAGAACGGGAAGGAGGAGGATCCAGAGAACTACAGACTAGTCATCCTCACCTCAGTCCCTAGAAAAATTGTGGAGCAGGTCCTCAAGAAATCCATTTCTAAGTATTTGAAGAAGAAAGTGATCAGGAACAGTCAGCATGGATTCACCAAAGGCAAGTCATGCCTGACCAACCTGATTGTCTTCTATGATGAGATAACTGGCTCTGTGAGTGCGGGGAAACCAGTGGATGTGATATACCTTGACTTTTATTACAGTCTCCCACGTCCACCACGAGAGGTGGTGGAATCTCCATCTGTGGAGGCCTGGCTTGACAGAGCCTTGGCTGGAATGATCTAGTTGGGAATGGTCCTGCTCCGAGCAGGGGATTGGACTAGATGACCTCCTGAGGTCCCATCCAACCCTAATTTTCTATGAATCTGTCCATGTTTTTGCTTTCCTTATTCTGTGAGAGTGTCAAGATTCTCTTGTTACTGTTGATTTTTCTGAGATAATCAGTAGTTCTAGGAGGCATTCTCCTGGTATCACACTGTGCAATTTATATTCTGTCCATTCAGCGTCTGTGATTTTTGAATGATAAAAGAGAAGTCATTAAAGCTAGTGAGCTTTTCAGTTAGTAAAAGGAGGAAGGAAGAGAAGCCTTGATATTCTTGACAAAAGGGGTGATCATGAGTTCTCTCTTTGTAGGATTTAAGTTCTCTGCTGAAAGTACTGGGATTGTCAGTTGCTTGAGTGCCAAATAGAAATGGGGAATTAGGGAAAGCCCTACTGCTCAGGCTTGTAGGTCCTATATTGGAAAGGAAAGGACTTTGGGTTGGTCAAGCCCATTGTTGTTGTTTGAATGAACTTTAGATTTAAAGGGAATTGATTAATTGCTGTCTGAAGGAGAGATCTTGTGTGCTCTTACATGGATTTTAAAGATCCCACTGTACTTCTGTAAAAGAATTAGTGGTCTGACTCAGTACTCTTGGTTAAAATACTGCACAAGCTCCTTCTTCTATTCAGCCCCTCCCCCTCCATCATTTTTGTGCATCATACTTTTCCTTTGTTTGCTTGGCTAATGCCCCTCAGTAATGATTGTTCCTCAGTGGTGATGTTTTTGCAGTTCCTGAACTGTATTAGGATCCTTCAATATGAGAAGATGCTACTGAAATGTATTATTAAAAGGCAAGCTGCCTCTAATAAAATTATTTCCATTGCTTTTATGGTACCCTACTCTTAAGTTTCTTTACATGCCAGTTTTGGCTTTTGAATGCCTAAAGGCTAATATTATTGTGTTTTGATTTCCAGGGGTAAAGAAATATGGATATCTTGTGTGCTTTCTCTGTGTGCAAATGTTTGTTTTTCCTGAAAAATTCAAATTATAATGCTAAAACTACAGATGTTCAGGAATATGGTTTCAGCTGTATACTGCACAGCAAGCTTTGCTACGGAGTTAAATTGCTTGCTCAATTTTATTAAGCCACTCTGTTTGTTTTCTGGTTATCCAGGGAGTTATTTGTGGTTGCTTAAAGTTGACGGCATGCTATAATGATACCATCATGTACAGTCAAATGCATTTAGGATGAGAGTTCTGTGCAGGAGTTTTATCACTGAAGACCTTGTAATGAGTAAATTAGTTTGAAGACTTTGCATCTGGCAGCTCACCAAGGCTTAGCAATTATACATGGAAACAAAATATATTTTCATTTAAAAAATAAAGGAAGATGATGTTGTGATATCAACGAGTTTCTCAAACAGAATTTTATAAGGACAAATTTAATATCTATATCAGAAAATGAGCAATGATTACTTGTTTTTCATGCCTATGTTGTTAAAAAATAGAATGACACCATAGACTATTTTAATCCATGATCACATATAATACTGTAGAATTTCAATTTGGAGACCCTACTATTATTCCAGACCACAAAGGTATGGGGACATATGTATAGTAGTGATTCTATCCTTGTTAGAAACATCCTGCTAGCCTCTAGGAATTCAGGGATAATGTTGCTAAAGGTACTGGAAGCTCAGAAATAGGTCCAAATACAGCAGGTTTGCTGCTGTACCCATAAAGTACATCGTGTGAGTTTTCTAATGTCTGCTTCCATGTCCTACAAAAGTGTAGCAGTCTATATGCGCCCCAACCCTCTAGATCCTGGCACTTTTGGGCATACAGCATAGCATTTTTCTAGTGCTTAGTTCTGCTTGCAGCATTGGAAGGGACTCACAAAATCTTCCCCCTCCCTTCCCAACCTGATTTCCAGCCAGTTCACTCAACTGCCTCTACAGGAGCTCACCCTACTGGCTGACAGGGAACCAGGAGGCATGATGGCTCAGCTCCCAGACTCATGGATTCTCAAAAATCTGGGTTTTTGGTATCGAGATCCCCAGCTGGAGGGCTGCTTTTCCGGCAACCCCCCCCCGATGTAGAGCTCCCATTAAAGTTAGGCAGAAAACAGGGATTCCTTTTTTTGCGTGAATTTTTAAAAAGATGGTTTTCATGCCTGTTTAGAATTCTGGAAACTCAAAATCATTTAGGAAACAGAATTGCTGATTTCTGTTCGTATTTGAATTTAGAGTACCAAGCAACTGACCAAGGCTGGCAGACATTTTCAGAGGCACCTTCAACGTGTGTATTTCAGTCATGCTGAAAATTTACTCTTCATACTCTTTTGCTATTTTACTGCCAATTATGAAATCTGCATTCCTTTAGGTGTATGAAAACACTTTTTTTAAATTCAAGAAGCTAGTTTTATAGCAAATTCTTTTCCAGAATTTTTTGACATCCATATTATGTGGTAATTAAATTTTATGATCCTAGCTGAATAATATTTTGATATAAGGCACTGTAAAGGGGATATGAGATTATGCTTTTTGGCCAAAACAAAGGTAGTTCCTCTCTCTTCCCCCTTTTCTTTTTTCCACCTGCTTGCAGAAAGCTATATTTCTTCAGACAAGCCTCATAATTACCCTCCTGTGCCTGATTTGGGCCTCCAGGAACGGCCCATAGCATCTGTAAAGCTGGCAGCAAAATGGTATTTCCAGGCAGGCAGAGTGCTGCAGGGTAGAGAGCCAATCCATGGCTTTGTCTGAGCAGCTGAGAACTTCATCTGAGTAATACCATGGTGTACAGTAACACAGACCTGTGCCATGAGCAAGTAAAGCACTGAGCAAGTGTTAGGGCCAATATTTATAGACCACTACGTAGCAGCCCTGGAGAGAGAGAAAGACATGCAGAGGAGAGTGAAAGAGAAATCATTGGCAGAACTGAAGGCAATTCTTTTTAATATTTTTGTTTTTTAAATCAAACTCTTTTTTTCATCATCAGGTTAAATCTTCTCTTGGTGACTTACAACAGTCTTGCTCCAAGCTATGAGAAAGGGGAAGCAACATTAAAACAAGAAGTTTGAAGGTAAGTAGTTATTCTAGTGTCACTTTTACCTCCAGAGTCCTTGCCTATTTTTTAGCCTTTGAGGGCAGTGCATCAATCAGACGAGTCCTTGGGTACATGTTCTGGCTAATAAATAGCACTACCCATTGTTTAAGAACATTTTGTGGCAAATGGTAATTTTATGTACTATTATAGAGAAATATCATATTGATACTTCACTTAGCAACATGCTTGAAAATATCGGTTGCTGTTGGGGATATTGTAATCTAAGTTTACTGTCATTTCAAAGCAGAAACTAATAGTTTGGGAATGAGAATGCTACTTATGACTAATGTGTTATTTGCTGATTATTGAAGGATCAATTTGTCTCAGAATCTGGATGCTACGAGTTGCACCTTAATGCGTACCAATATCATCCTGCGATCTTCCTTTTCTTGGACAAAAGCGAACTGAAAATGTTGGATAAGCCCCATTCAAGTGAATGTTGTCTGCTGTTGTGTGGACAGCAAAAATCACTGTCAGGGACGGCTATGCTACATACCTTGTGATGAACAAGATGGTAGCTAATAAGCTCAGAAATGTCACCAAAAATGCATATCCTTCAAGGAGGTTGAAAATCTACTGTTTGGGTGATGCTTAAACATCTAACATCAAGATGTTCCTTGATAGTAGAAAGGAAATGAGGGATCATAACAACTATTATATACAAGGTGGGAGAAAGTTTGTCCTTCCGCTACTCTGGACAGGCAATTCTATACAGCATTTGAAAAATGAACTTTTTTTCCCATTACAAACAATAACTTACAGACAGTTTCCATCATGTGTACCATCTGCTGAATTCATTAGTTGTCATTGTTTGCATGTTTTAGGGGGGAGAATTTTAAAACCTGGGTTACCTAAAAAGAGGATATTTCTATTGAAACTCATTCTTAAAGGCAAAAACATGTGCATTCTTTACAATTTAACCTGTATGTTTACTGTGCTTAGCACAGAAAAGATTAATATGTTGCTTAAAGAACATGGCATTTTCCTGAATAAAATTTATCAGTTGACAGCCCTGGAATTATTTCCTTAAGTTAAAAAAATATATGCTTTGGCACTATTTGAAAATTTTGGGGCTGAGTGGGGCGGTGGTTTGCAACTCCAGGAGGATTTAGATATATACACTGAGTCAGTGTTGAAAAAAGTATGTTCAAATAACTTTAAGGTTGAGGCTTTTAACAAATAAAGGAAATGCAGTGTTAGGATTCTGTAACTTGACCTGTTAACACCAACATTTTGCAACTGTAGGGAATGTAACATCAGCCACTGTCCACCGTGCTGAGACCTCCCAAACATTACACAATGAATTAAAGATGGAATAGAATCATTGAATATACATTTGCTTGTTTGGAAATTTGGATTTTTAAGTTGCAATGCTAGTTTAAATTTTATGTTTCTGTAAAAATAAGTTGGAAGGGAGTGGAAATGAGAATGGGGAAAATAATAATGCCACCTCCTGCTTGAAGGAAAGCATGTTCAGTTAACAATGAACTATAATGGTTTTCAAGAATTCTATTTAAGAAAGCAGGTTACAAGAGAGTATGTTAGAGAGAAAGATATATAGTTAATAATCATTTGCTCTTATTTATACCAGATGCCATTGCCAGAGCATTCTGTGTTTTGCACTTGTTGACATCACATGTGGTAGAAACATTAAGAGGCTGTATTGGAAAATCTAGCAGAGAAGGGAGGAATATACTTGTTAAAAAAAAAAAAAAAAGCAATGAACAAAATTAAAAGTACCATATTTACTTGAATACAAAACAACCCTGAATGTAAGACAACCTGTCCCCTCCCCAAGTAATTAGATTTTACACATGGAAAAATTATATATATATTTTTAATAATTTTCTGTGTATGGAATCTAAATATTAGAGGATCATCTTAAATTCCCCTCCCCCCTCACAGTTAGTGGGTGGAAAGGTGATGAAGGGGGCAGTAATGGGGCAGGCAGTGTGGAAGGCAGTAGAGGGGGAATGTGCTAGGGCAGATACGGAGCCAGTAATGTCACAAATAGTGGGCGGTGATGGGGGGGCAAGTGGTAGAGGTTGGCAGTTGGTAGGGCAGTGAGAGGGGCAGGCAGTGAGAGAAGCAGGTAGGTTGCCCCCTGCAGCCGGATGCTGCCCTGTTTCCTGCTCCTCCTTTCCCCACAAGCTCCACATTGCAGTCTCAGGTCCCTATCCCCCACTTCTTCCCATCTCCCAGATGCCACCAAGTCCTGCTGCTCTGTCCTGGCTCTGTAGCAGCAATTATGCAGAGCCAGCACTGCTTCTTCGGGGCCATGGCACTGCTGGTTTTGCCACGTCCCACTTCGCTGACTTTGGACCACGGCCTGGGGCAAAGCAGCCTGCGTGGGGCCCTCCCTCCCTGTCCCCTGGCACAGTGACACCAGGGAGTAAAAGCCCTGGCAGACCTGACTCAGCAGGAGGGGCGGTGGCCCGAACAGGCAAGGACGTCTCTCAGATAACCGACATATTTGAGTAACCAGCACTCCCCGTTCCCCATGGATGCTGGGTAACACAGCTTTTACTGTATCATGTTAGCCAGTTGTTTTTTGGCTGCAGTCAGACAGAGCTGTCCTGGGCAGTGTGGAAGGGAGGACAACCTTAAGGTTACCTGTGACAACTAATATATCATCATCGTCGGCAATTCCTCAATTTGAGGATGATCTCTACTGCAGCTTATAGGGTCTCGAGGTGACTTGCATCCAATCCTTGAGCCACAGATCCACCTGCAGAAGTTGCAGGTCATTCAACAGGGGAGAGTAGGCTGCAGGTTAAGATTCCTCTCCTTTTCCTTCCTTTGCTTTCTCTTCTGTGCTTTAAGGGACAAGCCACTTTACCTCAAAACATGCTGCTGTTTGGTTGAGATTGTGGTACCATTGGAGTCATTTGGCAGCCAGCTCCTCCCAACTCTTGATGTATTTTCTTGATGTATACCTTCAAAATGTGCTTGTAGCATTTCCTCTGGCCACTGCAAGGGTTCAGGCCATTACTGAACTGGGAGTAATTACTTGTTTTGGGAATCGAGAGCCAGGCATCCACACCCAGTGTCTAGTCCAACTCAATATTGCTGTCATTGGCTTTACCAAGAATGCTGGCATTTGTGCAGGAAGAGTAGGTAGAGGAATAGGAAGAGTCAGAAACTCTACACGTGTGTAATGTGGTAGATGGGTTCTGCTTGGCTGTTCTCGTGCAAGAGTAGATTCTTACCTGGCAGAGTCTCTCAGAACACTTGGATGACTCTAAAAGGAGATTGCTTATTGAAATGGATGCGACAGGGTGGGGTCAATCAGGATTGAAGTTTGCCTGCCATGGTTTTACCAAATTGATGGCAATGGGAGGATAGGGAAAGGAAAGGACTTTTTTGTAATGGCTGTGCTCCCACATGCCTCTGCTGATCAGGGAATGAGCAGGAGAGTATAACATCTGCACATCACAATCTCGTCTTTTATGCTTTTGAAATAGACCCTCCTGCTCTCTGCTAATGCTGCATATATACTTATTTTATTGATAGAACTGTAGTATCCACTATAGGGAGTTTTGATGTGCTGTCATGGGCTGAGTCAGCATGCTCTGTTGCCTTCCCAACTCACCAAAACCCTGTCTGGGGCTTTGGGTGGACTGCAAGAGAGTTTGGGAGCATAATGGGTGGGTGAGGTCAATCTGCTCCCTGCCTGCTCTGCTCTGTGGCGGGTGTTTGTGTATGGGGGGGGGGGGTGTTGCCTGGTACTGGGTCCCAGGAGCCAGTGGAGGATGAGAGAAGGGAGGGGGAAGTGGGAGGCCCATGCAGCAGAGCGTGATGAGCAGTCACCTACGGGTGAGCAGGTGGAGGCGGCCTGGAGGTGAAGCCCTGCATGCTGAGATAGGAGATGCCCAGCTGAAACTCCCCCCGTTTGGAGTAGTGCAGCAGGGGCAGTACCAGGTGGAGGAGCCGCCTCTGGAGGTGAGGGGAGTAGAACAGCCCTGCCAGCCCAAGCCCCAGCCAGTATGCATAGCTTCTAGTGCGGCTGTTCGCAGTGCAACTGCAGCTAGCCGGGTGCTGCTCTGCTCCTCTCACCTCCAGCAGGTGGGTGGAGGGGAAGACGCTTCAGCAAGGCATCTTCCGCTGGAGATGAGGGGAGCAGAGCAGGACCAGGAATAGCCCATCAGAAGCTGTGTGTACCGGTCAGGGCCCTAGCCAGTGGGTGGGCCGGATCTGGTCAGTTGACAAGCCAGATCTTGCTTGTGGGCTGTATTTCCCTCCCCCCTGCCCCCCCGTACTATAGCTGTGGCCCCAGAAAATGTGGGTGGTTGAGGGGGGGCCCACCACAGCCAGTTCATTATTTACCGACCATAAGCAGTTACGTATCATGATTCAAGTCCCCAACATCATGAGGCTGGCTGAAAAATCAAGGCACTCTACAAATAGTAAAGGCCCTTTTGTTTGTCTTCTGTGCTTTGAACACTTTGGGGTTTATGGTATCGAGCCTTCCTCTCTAAATATGAGGGTCAGAAACTTCATTTTGTGGAAATCTCAATTGTCATTAAAACTTATCTGCAAGAGACTAAGATAAACTCCAAATACGATAAAACATAAAACTAATTCCTAAGAGTTGGTAACATTAGGAGTTGCAGTATTGCTTTACAATGCAGTTTTGAGGTGTATATCTAGGTTATCTTTGCTGCTGATGGAACATCAGGCCAAGTCTGATCTTCCATGCCTGCTATTCAAGGAGTACACAGAGCTTTAGTACCTTTTCCCCCAGGATTTTGCAAGTTATCTGTGTTGATTTTAATATATAAATTCACAGTTCAAGTTACTTCTATGATCCATCTGTGCATTTCATTGTCATTCTGTATACCCAGGTGATTGGGAAGAATTTGCAGTTCCACTGACACCATGCACATGCTGACAGTATCTAGTGGAAAAATACTTTTCTTCACAAGAATTTTCATATATATCCCAAATTTTAATTTGCTCCTGGGTATATGTTTAGG